TCGTTTGAAAAATTCTGAATACGTGGGTTCCGCGTAGCTCGCTCCTACATCTGTAAAGTGTTTACAGCGGTGGTCATGGCTACCGTCGCGCAGTAGTGAACGATGGAGTGGAAGTAGCACATATTTACTATGCAGTGTGGGCACTGTTTAGTCCGCTCGAAACCAAATAATAGTTACTCACCGCTTTTTTTTTATTAAACCTAATTTGTTTACGTGTATTGCAAAATTTTATTACTTACGAATTCCTTCTTGTGTGCTTTTTAAAAGATTGTAAAAGTTTAAATTCATTGTAAAGACAAACTAACAGTAATGCTATCTATTGAAATCGTGCGAGAAATACCAAACTTTAATGGAAAAGTAATTGAAAAGTTTATTTCGGACAAAAGTAGAAGAATTAACTTTCGTTATAAAAAATAATGGTGAACTCATTTCCCCCATATTTCAATAGTACTTAAAATAAAACTGCCCAATTATTTAATTAATTTAATTAATTAATTTTTTTTCAATACTTTGTACCTAAATTTTTTCGCCCGTCCTGGTATGGAAGTCAAGAGCCGCCACTGTTTAAAATCATTTAATTACTCTGGAAAAGGATAGCGAACGAGTCCGACTTACACTTGTCGCTATGACTATTATTGGCGAGTTGTTCGGACCTGACATTTGTTACGGATTTCATGAATATCTTAACAATGTTGTGATTTCATTGTCCTTGCACGAAGACACTCCCTGTAGCGTGAGTATTGCTTTCTATCCTTTCCGCAGGAACGTGCGAGGGACGAAGGAATGGAGCGATCTATTATTTAGGTATCTCATAGCACGCATAATCAGAGAATCGTTCGTAGGAATGTATTGAAAATGCCACTACCGTCTTATTAGACATCTCATGTTTTATATGAATGCTAGTATTTTCGGGTGACCTGAAAACTGGCCCGATTTTAACCCTCTGCATTTTGTTACAGATACATTTTTCTTGCCGCAGTACCCTGACGAACAAATCTTCAGGGCTACGTTCAGAGTAATAGACGGGGATTTTTTTACCTCGGAGCTAGCCGATCCCAGCACTAATCAGTTCAAAAATAGATCCAAAGACTACAGGGAAAGACTGAATCTGCTATTCAGGAGGAGTTCCGTCAAGCATGGGTACTTGGGAACCGAAGTCCTGGCCTTAGATGGGTAAGTGGCTAGTGTTAAAGGTTTCTAAAGAAAAGTAAAGAACATCCTATACAGATTGACTTGTCAGAAGCACCAAAAAAAATACAGTCGTGAATTATTGGCTTAAAATAATATGAAATCTTAATTCGAAGGTTTATCTGTTATATTAGAGACACTGTTGTAATCAGCCATCTTGCTTACTATTAAATAGTTAAATGTATATCAAGCCTTTCATGTATTCCCACTTACAATTTTGGCATCCAAAAAGGCGAGAACTTCTTTGCTAAATTTAGGGGGAGTTCTGTCGTGCGTAAACTAGGCCCTTTGTAAGTTGTTTAAAGACAAATCAGAAAATATGCAGAAACGTTCCTCGATCTGACACATCTACCAGGAAATTTCCATGTCTACCTCCATACACACACACTTACATACGTTATCATATATTTTTGAGGAGTAAAAGTTGCGTTTGTTACACTTTTGCACCTCAGTCTTATTTAACACTTTCATACTTGTTCCAAGTCACAAACTAACTTAACTACAAAACAAATATTCATAAAAAAATTAATATAAGCTTAGTAATATGAAGAAAATCCTCAAAAAAAATTATGACTAGTTTGGATACCTAAGAGACGAGATATTAATAAAATAATTTTTCACGATTTAGTATGAAGTCTTATGAGAATTCAGATTTTTTTGGTCTTTCCACTTAGAATGCGCAACAAGTGGCAAACAGTTTCCACAGCATCTTGTATAAACAGGAAACCGATATCTAAGGAACCGTATGACAGCTCGTAGAAATCGATTAGGTACTTGTAAGATACATAATTTATAATAATTCTCCTTCAAACTGCTGTCGTTGACTAACTTA